TCTCTCTTTCTCTCTCTTTCTCTCTCTTTCTCTCTCTTTCTCACACACACGCACACATACATACAAAATTTTACTATTTCATAATTTGTATTATAAAATATTTGGATGATTTTTGCTACACAATACATTTTTGATTAGTCCGAATATGAGATACAATTGATGTTCTTTTAGATAATTAAAAATTTCCAAATTCAGACTTAGTTTTTTTCTATTATTTATTATTCAATTTTTTTTGATCCATTGCAAATGAAAGTAATATGATAAACAAAAAAAAAAAGTATATGTGAGGTGTAAGAAAAGAAATATGATAAGAATTAGTTCAGTTCACTAATATGTTTCAGTATTACACGATTCATTTTTTTTTTCAAGATCTTTATCACATGCTAATTTTTTACTTTTTAAATTTCAAACTTTTCATTTTTTGATTAATTTACATATCATTACCATTTTTGACTGTTAATCAAGCATTGCATTTTTAAAAAATTAATTCATCTCATTCATCATTCATTTTGCTTTTTTATTTCTCATAAATTTGAATACATTATACTATTAAATATTATTCATCTCTGACCATTTATTCAACATTCCGTCATTCTGAACTCGAACTTAAAGTACCATCTTCTTCACTGACTCAAACATCATACGTTCTCATAATTTTAAAAGATATTTACATCTTTTTCGTAATTTGAACTGTTTTATCACTTATTTGCTGCATCGTTTTATATTTTGTTTCATTATTTTCCACTTAACTGATTATCATCTGCATCCCAATTTCAAATGATATTTTTAATTTGTGAAAATTTAAAACATTTTTAAAAAATGTTTATTTCAAAGAGAAGAATATGCGTGGAAATATGTTGCTGCTACTTGTTGTTTATAATCATGAAAAAAAAAAAATTATAGCATATGTAAGGAATTACTTACAATAGTAGTTATTTTTTGTAATTTGAATTTTTCCATCAGATTATCACCATCTTTCATCGCTTTTAACATTTCTATCTTGTCATTCCAACTGTATTCCATTCATCGATGATTCATATCTGACTAAACATTTCAGAATTTGGTATCTGTTTTACGCATACATTCATATTAACGAACAAATGATGTATAGATTAATGCGGGAAAGTAGGAACGAAACGAATTTACCGGATGAGATCATTGAATTGATCTGTTCGTATATTTCACCTGTTCAGGTTCTTTCTTTTCATTTTCAAATAAAAATTACCTATTTTGCAATAGGAAATCAATCATTTTTCATGTTTATTACTTTTTAGAAAATAAATGTGTCTGATTGAGATAAAATGTAAATACAGATATTAAGATACGATAATTTTATTCAGAAAAAAAAAACACTACTTTTTCTGGAGTTTTATTTCAAAAAATTGTGATGTAAAATTTTAGCAATTCTGAAACAATATCACTTGTTATCATATGAAATCTGATAACGCTGCTGGTACTTTCTTTATTAACTATATCATTTTTCCTGCTGGGTTTGAATTGTTAAAAGATTTGTCTATCAACATTATAAGCTTAAAACAACATTTCATGATTGTTTCAGTTGTGTTGCTCAGGATGGAATAGAGTTAGCAAGGGATTCAGAGATATGCTACTACAAGTATATAAAAGCTATCGAGTACTGAATACAGTTACAGGACCAGATTACAAATTCTTTGAGTGCTTTTGTTCGCCATTACCTTGTGGAAATAAAGTTAGATTCTTGAAATCCTATCTTACTTTCTGCTTATTATGGATTTTTTTACGAAAATTATGATTCGTTTTTCAATCTTAACTTTCGATTTTCAATCTCAGCTTTCCTATACAGTAGTAAACTAGTAGATCAAATCAAATTCTTTTTATGAAGAAAAATTGACTACTAACGACATTTATTTGTTCGTTTTATTCTAATATATCAGTTTAGATTCTTGTGAAAAAGCTCGAAATTATTATTCGAAATGTTTTCCCACACGTTACGAATTTTACCATCCGTGCGGGACTATTTTCGACAGGTAAATATTTTTGGTAAATAGAGATATATTTATAAATAGTACTATACTTGTCTCTATTAAGATTAACCTAAGGGATAAGATTCATTACATCTTGAGATTGGAAATGATTTAATATTGTCAAAATATACTATATATATATATATGTATATGTATTGAAAGTGTTTGAGGACATTTTGCAAACATTCTGTGAAGCTTATTTGAGAGTAAAAAAATCGATACCAGACATAATGAACGATTTCAATCATAATGTCATGAATTGAATCTATAGCAGATTAAAATAGTTAACATTAAGTCTTCCTTTAAAAAAAATTTCATTAGTTCCTTTTGTTTCAGTTTTGCAATACACTGACAAATTTGAATCCACTTTGTTGATGCCGAAACTTCGTTTTCTTCATGTAGTAATAGGCGATAGATATGGTAGCCTGACTAACAATCATGTATTTACCAATTTTATATTAGCTCGGTTTGTTTATTTTGAAATTATCATAATTTTACTTGATTTATATTTGTTTCATTTTTGATGATCAATATTCTGCTATTATAACTATCAAAAAATAGCTTTCTAAATGTTACACAATTTTTTTGTATTCCATTAATGCAAGCAAGTGATATTATTTTTGAAATTAGTAGTTGTTTATATCTCATGAAGTCATTTTTAAAGTTATTTAGAATCTTTTATTTATGAAGAGTTTTTAGAAGATTTGCAAGTGGATTGAAATCTGTAGAACTGTCGGTGACGTTGTCACCAGATAGCGACCAGCTTATAGCATGCTGTAGTTTTCGAAAGCTTATTCGCTTCCTAATGGAAATAGCGGAAAAGGACTGTATGATCTATAACCATTTGGTTGATTGTTTTGTTTATGATGTGCTTTTTTTTTTATGCGATAAGATTGCGATTATATAGCAAGAATTTAACTTGTAGTAGATAAACAGAAACATATGTCAAGCTCGAATTAAATAAGAATTAGCCATTATTAAAAAATTAGAAATGGGATGAATTAACAATTTGATAATAATTTCTTCTCAGTTGTGATTTTTTTTTTAAAAGACTTCATTGTTTTTTTTTTTTTTAAGTCAGTGATACTTCTTGATAAGTAAAGAACAAAAATATAGACTTTTATAATATTGGATTCATTGGAAAAGAATTTTTTCCAATCTGTTTTCTTTTTTTTTTGCAAAATAAGTGAAGTTAAGTTAGGGAATAGTTTTTATGTAGGGAATAGGTGTGAAAAATTTTATTTATTAGATAATAAACGAGAGTAAACTGTCTTTGTTTTCAGCCATGTGGTCTTTATGTCTTAAAGATAAAATCAAACGATCACAAAGATGGTTTAACCCGTCAGGATTATCGTCTTATCGAATTATCGCCTTCATAAGAAGAATACTGAAGCAAGAACAATACTATATAAGAACAATATATTGTATCATAAATTATAGCTTATTGATAATTTGAAAATTTCTCCTTATATGTTTGTTATGAAGCAGAAACGACTTCAAAATTGTATTTTTTTTTAATTGAATTTCCTGATTTCTTATCATTTTCAACCACGGCAATACCATTTATCATTCTTCTTCACTTCTTTCTCAACATGAAATATTTTACAAAAAAAAAAAAAATCAGTAAAAAGTAGAATTACTGATCCTGTCATCCAAATCTCAATTGTTTCTGTTTTTTTTTTGTTATCACAGATTCCAGTAGTTCTAAGAATCTTTTTTCAGCAATGTAAAAATCTGATCATATGATATTGATATTGCAATTGTTGCATCATTGTTTCCAACGTTTTGATGAGAAATATTATAAATTACAACAAGTCGAAATAATATCCTCATATATCCTTTACAAAAATGATTTCTTGAATTATCTTTCATTAGCGCTAAGTAAGTTTTAGTTGAATTAATTTCAGGATTTTAAAATTAATAGAAATACAATAAAATCCTTTCATTTATACACTATATTCACATTTGAGCAGAGTACTAATTTCCTCACATTGATATATTCGAATGATCGGGAAGAGTCATATTGTGCTGTTATTTGTCTAACATGAAAAATGACTTGTAAATTGAGCAGTTCGTATTTCTTGATCACATTAATTACTTTTATTAATGCAGATATCAAAGTTTGTATGTATTCTATTGCCATATCATTTTGATAACGACCGAATTGGAGCGGTGTACATTCGGATGTTTCCATAATGCACATTTTGCATATTTCTGATGGGCTTCATTATCCCACAATATCTTCCACCATATTTTGCTTGTTTTTCTTTGAAAATCTTCGTTTGGATGCTATTCTCAAGAAATAATTTTTGATTCATTTTTATATTTACATAAATGTCCTATTACATATGATACTAGGCCAATATCTGCTCAACTTTTCTCTTCTAAACAATTAATTGCTCTGCTTTTTTGCTAATACATATTTGCTCAATTTTTAAACACGAAACATTTACAATGTTTGTAATAGCAAGCAACAAATCATTTATGATTTCAATTTCGTTTAGATATTAATGATTTTTACTGCTCATTATTAGCAATATGGGAATAGATGTGGATATTATTGTATCGGTATGTATCCTCTATTGTTTTATATTTGGCTATTTGATGACTGAAATTTTTTGAAAATATTCGAAAGTTACGAAGAGATTTTTCTTTTTCGGGCTCGGATGAAATTTCAAATATTTTTAGTAATTCCTCAATTCGCAATTTCATTATTTTTTTATCGTTGAAATTTTATCGATAATTGATCTTGCTTCTTTTGTATCAATAATTTTGATACTTTTGGTAATGATATTCTTTTATTACCATTTAAAACAGATTATTCAAGCAAGAACAATTTGTTTACAAAGGTACATTTTTTATTTGAAACTATTGATTTATTTTCGTTACTTTGATTTCATTATAGATTAGTCAACAGTATTCAGTATTTTTCATTCAGCGTTTTACAGTTTTTCTTCCTTTTTTTTTTTCCAACACACAATTTTTATGCCATAAAATCCATCTTACACATCAATTTATGTTTAGTGCGTTCCTAAAACTGCTAAATTTGATGATCATTGTAAGAAATTTGAGTGTGAATGAATTTTGATGTTATAAATTTGTCTGAAAAATTCTTTCTTCTTCACTCGTACTCCTAGTGATTAGTAGTTAGTATACTTTTAGCTTTAGACTGTTTAAAAAATGGCTTATTTTATCTAAACCTCTATTTGATCTTTATTTAGTAACATTGCGCTTAGTTCAAAAAGGTATTATTGCTTTACTTCATTTATTTTCTGGAAGTAGTATATTTTGATCTGTACTCGTGGAATTTTTCTACAACATTGTATACCTTATTTTTATTTGTTGAGTGAGGTACATTGTGACCTTTTATTACTACTTTATTACACCTTTATTGTTAATGAACTGTAGTGTTTACAAAAAATGTTATTGCTTCAATACCTATGCTGGTAATTTGAATTTGTCTTTATAATTAAAACTGCAAAATCTTATTTTCTTTTTAATATATTGCTTTTTCTTTTGCTATATTTTATGCTTCACTTTTCGTCGAGCTTTTAAGTTTCAGCATTTTTATTCAAAGTTACAATGACACACTGCTATGTATATGAATGCATTTTTAATCAGGTTATTTTAAATATAATGAAATAAACTTTTGACAGAGTTTGCTGTATTAATAATTCTTACCTTTAGAGTAGTAGATGAATTTGTACTTTGTTTTAGTAATAATACAGTATTTCATAAATTTACATTTTATTGAGCCAAATGCGGATTCATTTAAATAGTTCGCTAGCGACAATTAAAACACTGATATGATAAGATGTTTCATCCTTAAGATAATCCTTGATAATGACCTCTCCATGACTTAACTCTCATGTTGAGCTTCTTCTTCAAAACTTATTATTTCATAAGTTATCACAATAATTCCATCTCATTCTTCTATTTTTACCTCACCCCACGGAAATTTATGTTGCAACGATGATGGATTAAAAGCATTTCATTATAGGTAGGCATTTTTTGCAACTCCTATCTACTCATTCATCGAAAATTGTTAAATTTTAAATTTCACTACAAAAACAGCAACCCCGAAAACCAGCTTTGCTAACGAACATATGTATTGAAATTGAAAGAAGGAAATAATATTTATGTGAAATTTTTCATTTGAAATGAATAAGTCAGAAGTAAAAGTTCATATGTAAGATTTTTTTTTTCTTATTCAAAATTTTTTTTTTCTTATTCAAATTTTTTTTCCTATTTTCTCTTCTTCAAATTTTTATTCAAAACAAATGCATAAAAACATATCTATTTAAAACTCATGAAGCTATAATAATATTTATTATATGTAGAAATAATAATTATCAACTTTGTCTGTTCTCATGAGTTATGAAGTACACATGTTGCGTGTAGTAAAATGATTAATACGTGATGATTAAATCGATATAGTTGGCTAATATCAATTTAATCACATTAATGTATTAAATCGTTGTAATGCGAATTATTTGAAATAATCCAGATATGCATTGAAAACAAATTATAAAATTGAGCTGTCACTGAAAATATTGCAATTGCAGTTGCGCGACCGATAAAAATAACGATTTACTATATAATCGCATGCTAAATATAAATTATAAAATTTTAATAATTTGATTAAGGGAATCAAAACTTCTTCATTTTTATATTCATGCAAATCAATCAGCACAATTATCGAATCACTCTCTGAATTTTTCCATCTTTATCATTGAGTATCAGTATATCAGTAATTATCATCTAATAATTTGTACAAAAAAAAAAAACGAGAAATTCATTTACAATTTTTTGCTAATTTAAATAAGCATCCGAATGTTTAAATTATTTCCAAAATTCCTTGTAAAAAAAAAAAAAGAAACTTCTTTCATATTATTAATAATTCTATGAATGAATTCTTTTCATTTTCAATTTTTTTGCAATTTCTTCGTTACAACGAAAAGCTTTTAAGGGAACGAATTTCATTTTTATCATCCATTCTTTTCTCATTAAAATGTGAATTTTAGTAAAAAATAATTGCAAATTGAAATCGGACATAAAAATGAACGATATATAATGATGCAATGATTCATTTAACACTGTTTATGAGCAAGAATTTATCAATGATAGCCGACAGTAGGCGCCCATTATCAGACGAAGTAATTTTTATAACTTTGCTATATGTTTGATTTATCGCATACAATTTTTTTTTTTGATACTGTTATAAATGGTATCACTTTTTGTGTTTGCAATTCAGTGTAGTGTAATTCATGATAGATGTAATAAAATGTAAAGTTAGGCTGTCATTTATAAATTCTTAAAAAAATTAGACAACTTATTGTAGCATATATTCGAAATTACTTACTTTCAAATCAATCAATAATTCATTTTTTTTTTTTCTAATATTGTATGATGATAAATGAGAATTGTTATTGTTGTTGTTGCTGTTGTAATGTAAGAAAACGACGAATAATCTTGCTAAAAAAAACTTTATTTTTCATTTGTTGCACCAGTTTTTTGTTTAAATCAATATTTTGTGTAGCTCAATTTTGTTGATTGTTGAAATACAAACGAAATGAAAATGTGGAAGTTAAGATTTTGATATGATTATAAAAGTTGAACGTGGTAGAAATGATCGAAAATTGGATACTGATAGCATGAATGATTGATTGTTCAAGTTTTCGATCACTCTCCTGCACAGTCCACCAAAGTTGATTAATAGCCTGGAGCAGTTCTGGGAGGTGGACAATGATCACAGCTGCCTTTTGGTCCATCGGGACCTGCTTCTCCTTGTTCTCCATTTGGACCATCATGTCCCGGTGGACCATCTTTACCATTTTGACCTGGTGGTCCACGTGGTCCCTGTCGTCCAGGATTGCCATCTCGTCCAGGTGGACCTTGCTCACCTGGTGGTCCCTGTGGGCCTGGTGGTCCTGGTGGTCCTGGTGGTCCGGGTACCTGAAATTTTGAATGTCACTAAAAAGTAATTTTAACAATTGACACTAAATATCCGCTTGAGTTTTTAATGTTGAAAGAGTTAGAAAAGCAAACCTCAATCTGTACACCTGGTTTTCCTGGTTCGCCAGGTGGTCCTGGATTTCCGCGAGGTCCGTTCGGTCCTCTTGGTCCCTGTGGTCCCATAGGACCTGGTTCACCAGGCTGTCCGCTTGAACCTTTATCTCCTGGTAATCCCCTTTGTCCTTTCGGTCCTGGTTTGCCTCGTGGGCCTGGCGGTCCTTCAGGACAATTGAAGCACCAATCTTTTTCAGTCGGCTAAAAATTCCAGATTATCTCTAAACCATATCTTTCTATAACTTTTAGAAATGAAGTTTTTGATTTTAATTTGAATGGAAAAAGATGATCATCAAAACACAATTTTTGA